GTAAAATTATAGGTAAAATATTTTTAGGGGTAAAATATATAACATAATAGATCATATATATATATACGTAACATACATGTTTATATTTGTAATTCTAATAGTCACAGTTTTTCTCGATTGCTTGGATGCAGTTGTCAACTGAAACTCCACCTTTTCAAAACAGTAGACACACAGGCCTAAACAGCAGCACTCATGGTCAAAATGACACATTTTGCTTGCAAAAGGCACATATCGTGTCAAAACATTTAAAATATGAAACAAAAGCTAGTTTTACCTTAAAACAACACAACTTGCAAACAAGTATATGAGCTCTTTGAATTAATCATTACACAATGGACAACAAAATACAAAATATAGAAGTCAGTGCACCACCATTGCTTGTCATTGTAGCCTATTGCCAATGCCATTTGTTGTCTTTCTATTTGGGCCGTCAAGTTTGCCTTTTTGCAAAGAATTGGATCCAGAATAAGAAATGCTTTGATTAAATTTATATTGAATTCATGACAATTTTCAAACTGTGGCTGAAAACTAAAATACTGTAAAAACAGACAAAAATAATAAAATACTGTAAATATTAAACACATTTAAACCAATGTACAGTCAAATCTTTTGGGAGTATAGGACATAGCCACTATTGACCTCCTCCATCCATGCTGGCACAGAACAACACAGACCTTCCACCATTTATATAAGGTTTGCAGACTGATTGCTAATTGAAGACTTGAGTGTAGGAGTTTCAAATCGCTGCTTCAGTGAATTCAAACTGATCTTGGTAGTGTCTAATGGTTAGGAATAGATGGTCTCTGTTTGGTTACCATAGCTAAAACAATGGAGTTTGGACTGCTTGAATGACATCTGTGTTAACTGTTTTGAAAAATGCTAAGGAAAATGTGTCAACCCAATGAGAAAAGCTTTACAAATTTGCAAGACCTGTCTTCTGCTCTGCTGGGATAGTGAAAATGAAAATGAAGTGGAACCTAGTTTCTTTAACCAGGTCAAAGCAAACAAGAAAAACTGTAAAAAATGGCAATATTTTGACATGTATGACATTTTATATATGTAAAATTCTTATGAACTATTATGTCACATATGTAATTTGCATATATTTCTATATATCAGATTTCTATTTTAGGATCTGGGTTTCCATCTTTCTGGTCTTGTGGGTTTGGTTCTCCTCTACATCACAGTGGTGTTTTCATAAGTCAAAAATCTTGGAAAGAACCTTCTGTCAATGTGAATCCAGGCCTGATATTGCTGTGATTGGGCTTTCTCACATACATACAGTAATGTCAGATATGAAAACATTGTCTGTAAAAGTGGTACATGGAACAAAGTAACCATAAATATAAAAAATTAAGGATGAATAAAGATGTCATCTATAGATAATGTAGTTCAGTTGGGTCATCTTCTGTGGTAACTGATGTCATTTGATCTATCCTGATTATTTAATCATCTAAACATGTAATATTGTACAAAAGTTTCCATACATCCAGAGTAATGCAACAGTTAATTATTATTTTGAGTGCTTGTATCAGTTGATAATAACATCATGTGAAGTAAATGAATACATGGTTATTTCAATTGTATTGTTTGAGTTGCATTTTGAAATGGGATCAATTTGAAGTTTAATTGTGTTATATTGAAAAGGTGATCTGAGTTCAATGAACAAAGTATTTTTGACTTGTGTGTGTTTTATCCAAGCATTTGAAAAAAGAGTTAAGGGTTTTGCAAAAAAATGTGCAATTTTAGCAATGGTTGTGAATTTTGTATCTAGAGTTTTGAAAATTGACACCAGGGCCCGGTTTTTCAAAAGTAATCCACTAGGATTTTGGATAAGGGATTGGATCAAATCTTGAAAATGGGTTTATCAAAAGAAAAAAACGGATTACCTAATCGGATTAGATCACGTAATCTAATCTTGGTTTTGATCCGGATCAAACCTTTAGTTTGGGTTTTTCAGACCTTTTTTGTAGGATCTGGATCACTTTGATCCAAAAAACCTGGATTAAACTGATCCCATCAGAAGGGTGGATTTAGCGTGGATTTCATGCCTAAAATGTAATGAAAACTTAAAAAATGTATAAAATAATACTATTTTTGGATCATGCAGTATCTTACGATATATACTATTTATTCATAAGGTTTTACTTTTATTTGTTCATCCGTCAGGCTATAGTGATTATTGGCTTTAATGTATTTAGCCTTTCAGTATAGGCCTCCAGCAAAGTAGAAAGAGTTTGGCCTCATAAAATAATCCCCCAAACAGCTGTGAAAATTGACCAAAAACAATCAATTTTATTTTGTCACTAATTGATATATATATTCATCACAATGAAAAATATTTTTCTTTTTAGAATATTTATTAGTGATGCATGCAATGATTACAGAATAAACAATAAATGCAAAGAATGGCAATGACTGATTTTTGAAATCTCTTTCAACAATTGCAAAAAGAGACTGAAAGGGCAGAAGCACAGCTTCGTCTGGCGGGGGAACAACTGACTCTGACCAAACTGCAGCAAACCAAGGCCAAGGACTTGAGATTCGCCTCCTAAAGGCTACGCTCAGACAAGCTGCTCTCTCCACATCAGATGAGGAAGTCTGAGATTATTGTGGAGTTTTTGACATTAAGTCTTTTTTTTATTTACATCTATATTTGAAAACTTGTTATAAATATCCTCAATGTACAGTGTTTCAGGTCTCAGATGAGTGGACTGCTGGAAGAGGATGCGGTGTTGTTTTTCTTGCTTTTATTATTTATTATTACTATTAATTTAATATTTAATAAGTTTTCATTTAAAAAAAAAATAAAGTTATGTTGACCCCACGCTGGTTATTCTACTTGTCGCTCTTTACATATCTATAGTTCTACATTGTGATTTCTTATCCTGTTTGAGCACTGGTAATCCAGATTTAGTGATTCTGAAAAGTTCCTATCCGGATCAGTTTGATCCAATTCGATGTTGCTCTGAAAAACTGGCTCAAAAAGTAAGCTGGATTACCTGATCACGGATCGCAAAAACAGAATTACTAAATCTGGATCAATTTGATCCGGATTAAACCTTTTGAAAAAACGGGCCCAGCAGCTGACCGTTACAGATACAGCATGCAGCACCGAGGACCGTCTATCTCCACAGCTTCAGACAGGGTTTTATGACAACCTTTGTAAATGTTTGCAATTAGGAATCCTTCTGCAGAAGACATGTCAGTGTTTATTTTGACGTAAACTGTTATTTTATGAAACATTTAATGTTGAGTGTTTATATGCATATTTTTATATATAATAAATGAATACACATTTAAATACATATGTTTGTGTGTTTTTGTTTCTCTGCTGAAGCACCGCAGTAAAAATTATCTTAGGGTCTCCTTTTGACCAGCAGCAACTCTGGTTAGTGGGTTCCCACTTAGGAAGAGGTCAAATTTCATTTTTACTGTTGATCATCAGTTGGCACCATTAAATCCTTTACATTGCCCCGTGCAAAAGCGTGTCTGACTTTTATATGGAGTTCTGTGGAGTAAAACTGCAATTTATAGAGTGCATGCATAAGTACACTTACTATGTTTACTATGTTCTGACAGCTGAGGTGCCTATTTTGTATTTTCTCCTACACATCAATATATGTGTGTAAAAGTCTCTCTTACAACCTCACACACTCACTAAACACCAAATAAAAGCAAGAAATCAAGCTTTTTTGAACTGTAACTGATGATCACCAGCAAAAATCACAAATCTTACCTCTTCCCAACAGGAAAAACCACCAACAATCAAGAATGCATGATTATACGCTGTCATGACATTGCATTTAAAAATAATGGAAATCATTTGGGCAAAAACAGCCATGAACACAATGAAAGGGTGGTAAATTTGCTCAGAGTGTGTTGTTGAGTTTTAAAAAAATTCTAAAAGTATTTTCCCAAAATATGTGTCAACAAGATTTGTCACCAAAAATCATCCCATTTGCTGAACCACAGAGAAAGTTGTTGGTAAATTAAGCCTCAAAATCAGCCCAGAGTGGACCAAAACTTCACCAACAGCACAGAAGGGTTAAACACCCCCAAATCCTTGATGGGATGGTTCTAAGAGGCAGTGCTCACTTCTGGACAGAGGGGCAAGTGTAGCAAGTAGCAAGTGGAGATGTTTTGAACCTTCAGCTGACAGCCAGTGTAAGTGGAGAGGTAAGAGAGGTGTGACGTGGGCTCTCTTGGGATCATTGAAGACCACATGAGCTGCAACATTTTGTTTGGCCAGGATTGATTAGATGAGCATGTCATCGGTGTAAACCAGAGATGCCCAAACTAGGGCCGTGGGCCAAAGTGAATCCACGGTAACCTTTGATTTGGCCCTCCATCCCATCTGAGAAGAGAGGGAGAATGATGGGGAGTTTTGGGGGAAAGTCTTTAACAGAGATTGTCATTTCTAATACAACATAACTTTGTTTTTTAACTGTTGAGATACAAAAATAAACAAACTGAAATTAAACGTTTCAATGAAATGTTGTGAATGAATCAAATAAAATAATAGTCACTTGAAGGAGAGCAGACATCACAGAAGACATCAGCAAGCGAAGGCAAAGTGTATTTTAGTGTCATAAATGGGATTGTTCATGTTTTATTGTAAGACTTTCATTCATTATAAAATGTATAATTATTAATACAATTAAAGAATTTTAAATGTTGTAAATTACAGTATTCAGTGAATCATGTAAATTATATAATGAATAATAATAATAAACTAGGAAATTACATTGACAATTTTACAGTTTGGTAGATTTACCTCCAGCCCACCACCCTCAGACGAGTTTAGTTTTTGGCCTTTCATAAGCAAAAGTTTCCCTGAAGCACCTCTGAAATAGACTTTAACTAAAAGTTTTAGATTGTGAGCAGGACAGCACACTGGTTCTCCCGCAGCATGTTTTGTTCATCATTTCTATCTTAATGTGTTGATCATTTTCTGTTGTGTTTCTGTATTGTGTGAAGGTCAACCAGTCCACAGTTTATGCTGCTATAATCTTTATTCAGTTTTATTCATAAACTATGTACAATATATACACTGTGCTCACGTCGGCTCCAGGTCTCTTGGGTGAAGGTCTCTCAGTGACGTGGTCTCTTCTGGTCGCCGTGCGTCTCTGGTGGAGATGGGGAACGGGAACGTTTCCCTCTGGCGTCCTGGACTGAAGATGCTGCACCAGCTGAGGAAGAGGAGGACAGTGGCTTGGTCTGGCAGGAGAAGGACGGCCTCTTTTTCTTCTCAGCAGCATAGGCCTCACTGAACAGATCGAGCGCAAACACACACAAGCAGACATAATGTGAGATTTTCACAAACACTAGAACATGCTGCAATGCCAAGTACAGTTTACGCACGCGTCTATGATGGGAATGACGTATTTGCCGCTGCCGTCCATCATGACTCCCTTTCGGTTTGGGTCGTCCACCTCCAACAGGAAGCTGCGGGGAATCCCTGTGCTCCTCCTGATGCGCTTGTGCGGAGCAGAGCTGCTGCCCTGTGAATTCATGAGTGACAGTCAAACGACAGAGCAAACAATCTGACTGATGGAGACAAGAGCTCAAGTTCACAGCAACCATAAGCTTAGAAAACCCAGTTACCCCTTTAGAGGGGCAGTGCCTAATGTGGTGTCCTGGGATCCCACAGTGAAAGCAGACATAGTTGGGTGGAAGAAGCCCAAGCAGTGTCATGGCCTCACTGATGAACATCAGAACCATGAGAATCAGCTCTAACATTTCTCACAAACCAAACCTGTCAGTGTCTGAACGCTCACCTGCTGGAGTAGTAGCACAGACTGGACTGGTACATCACCGCTTTTAGCTTGTCCTCCTCTGATGCCTTTGCCTCAGCCAAATTCTCAGTCTGTTTCACAGGCATTTGCACATTAGAATTTTATTTTACTGGTCTGCCTAAGAAGCTGTGTGTGTGTGTGTGTGTGTGGGGGGGGGGGGGGGTGTTTTACACTGTGTATTGATATTCTGCACTACATGTCATTATGACTCCTCAAATGCAAACACTGCAGTTTAATACAGAGCAGCACAGTGGGGTGAATTAATCATTTGTTCAATACCTTCAACAGCTGCTCCAGTGAGAGGAGTGAAGAATCACCTGTTTGAGAAGATTTAGCTGATGGTCCAGCTTGATGTCTGCAAAACAAAGGAGCTTGTGTGACTAAAACACCACAGACAGAGTCAAACTCTTGATATAACATCTATCAGAGGATGGTTGCGCTCATTTCACATGACTTACCCAACAAATCTTCTGTTGGAGGACTTCAGTCCAGCCGCAGGGACCCGTCTGATGATGACAGATGTGTTTTTGGGGATGAGAGCATCATCATCTGTGTATTCTGACAGCAAAATAAAGTTTGAATATAGTAATAATCATTTACCATGGTATACTTTGAGTGCCATTAGCATTTTAAAACACTCAAAACATCACTATATGTCACCATCAGAGTCATGATAACACATGTCAGCTTCTACAAGTCTGTCTGATAATACATCTAATGTTAGTGTAGTATAGTTTAAGTGGCTTTTCCTCATCTCACCTTCATCAGTTTGGCCTTTGCTTATCTTCAGCTGGCAGAACTTCAGCCTCTCGCGCCTCATGATCTGCCGCTTCAGCTCTCCCACAGTGATGTTGAGGCCCTCAAACTGGAGCGAGTCGTAGGTGAGTCGACTCTGAAACCTGTAATGAACACAAGACATACTAAACACAAAACACAGTGTGATAACAAGGGTCAAACCTGAATGAAGGGAGCAGCAGGCGATCAATCGATGTATCCAACAATCAATAATATCAATAATCTGGGAATCAGTTGCCACGAAGGACGCCGAGATCAGATGCCAATGACAGAGCAAGTTCAAAACAACACAAAAAGAACCGTTGCCATGGATGCTGACGATCACGTGACGAGGCGCTAAAAAACTTCCGCGTTATTTTCTCATTAATAATAGTGAAATCATTACTATGATAATAATAAAATAAACAGCAGAACAGTTGGCCATCTCTGAATAATACACAGTGGCGTTTCCTTACACGAATGATTCAGGACTCTGTATAAAGTCGGGCGAGTCACTGAATCAGTGATTCGTGGCTGAATGAATCACTTAAAGCTTCACTCGATTAAAGCGGTCTCTTGCTGCCACCTATTGGCGATTTGTTTTTCCGTTTTAAAGTTTTTTTTTTGATGGTGCAATAGGTTTTTTTTTTTATTAGATCTTATAAGAACATACAGAAAAAAGAACAAATGACCGAACAAAGAAACATCTTATTCATCTAGAAAGTCCAAATAGCAGCATTCACACAAAAAACAGATAAAAAAAGCAAATAAATATATATTAAAAAATAATAAAATTGAAATAAATAAAAAGCAAAATACAATGCACTATAATACAAAGGGGTTAATCATCAAAAAATGCCTTTAACAGACTACACAGTTTAAGGGCTTTTTTATGTCTCATCAGCTTTAAGGAATTGAAGAAGACCATTAAATCCTTGTGGAAAAGCAGAAAAGTGGGGGGGTTATTAAAAAATCTGCATTTATGAATGAAATAGTTTGCCAAAGTCACAATATTGTTAACCAAAAATTCCAGCTCAGAATTCTGACAAAAAGATCAATATTTTACAGTTTTAAAATCAAAATCAGGTATTACATATTTTAATCTTAAACAAACAGTAATGTCATCCCATAACTTTTTTGAAAATTTGCATAAATAAAACAAATGTTCCAATGACTCTATGTCTGCTTCACAAAAGGTACAAACGTTACAATCCAAATTAAATCTGTGTCTGAGGAACTCATTACAAGGATAAATATCGTTAATAATTTTAAACTGAACTTCTTTTGCCTTTGGTAGAAGTGGAAAAGAGAGAAATCTTGTTCGAATCCGAACCACCTTGTCTTCTGGAAAATCTAAAACAAGGGGTCTTTTCTTAACTTTAGAAGGGAAAAGCTGTGTATTTACTAACCTTCTTAAGGTCTTATTATTACAGCTCTGCCCAGTAAAATTAATACCAGAAATAATAAGGTTGCCCAATCTTGGTATCACAGAAGAATAACCCAATTCCCCTTTTGATTAGCTGAACCAAACCACCAGGAATAGCTTTCAACAAAGACAAATACAATTTCTAAGTACAAATAATATGGTATTTTTCACAAAAATCATCATAATTAAGGAAATTTCCAACCCCATCCAAAATTTGTAAAATAGACCAAACACCTTTGTCCATCCACTCTTGAAAAAACACAGATTTCCTCTTAAGAAGTATATACTTATTATTCCACAAAGAACAGCTATGTGGCGAAAAATTATGTTTGTATATTAACTTCCAATACTGTAATACCTGACTATGAAAAGATGACAATTTACACTTTAACTTTGATGGCTCAAAATCGCATCTTAAAAGAAAGTCTATGCCCCCAAAGAAATAAAAAATTTTAGAAGAAAACCTAAACCAGAAAGAATGTTTATGTCGAAGGAAGGTTTGAAGCCACTTCAGCTTAAGGGTACCATTCATAACATCAAAATCAATTACATTCAATCCACCTTCAATGATTGGTTTCACTACATCTGATTTTCTTAGAAAATGATGCTTATTTTTTCATAGAAATTTATATTGCATTTGATTCAGATTTTTAACGTACCTATCAGAAATACTTAAAGAAAAAGCTGGGTAAATCATCCTGGAAAGTGCTTCTGACTTTTGTAAAACAATTCTACCAAAAATAGATAGATCCCTTTGAACCCACAAATTTAATATTTTTTGACTTTTTATCAAATTATTCATCAAATTAGCTTTTTCCCTATCTTTAGGGTCTTTAGAAATAACAACACCCAAGTATTTTACCTCATTTTTAACTGGAATATTGAACAGTTGTGTTTCGGTATGGTTATGGATTGCCATAAGCTCACATTTTTTTAAATTCAATTGCAGACCAGAAGCATTTGAAAAATGAGACACCAGATTAATGGCAACTGAAATCTGCTCTGCATTACTGAGAAACAGGGTGGTATCGTCTGCTAGTTGACTTATTATTAATTGACTCCCTAAAACATTCAAAGTTCTGATAGCTCTGCAATTTTTAACATACAATGCTAATAATTCAGCTACTAAAATAAATAAATATGGGCTTGTTGGATCCCCTTGTCTGATGCCTCTATTAATGTTAAACCTCTTCGAAGTCCCAAATGGTAATAATACTGAACTATTTATGTCTTTATATAACATTTCTATTACTTTAACAAATTTATGACCAAAACCAAAAAAATTCAAAATAAAATTATGTTCTACAGTATCAAATGCCTTGTAGAAGTCAAGAAATAAAACAAACCCTTTAATTAAATGTCCATAATCAATTAGATCTAAGACAAGTCTAATGTTGTTGTGAATTAGCCTTCCTTTAATAAAACCAGACTGAGTTTCACTTATAACTTGATTCAATCTAAATATCAATCTATTAGCTATAGCAGATGTAAGAATTTTAGAATCCACATTGAGTAGAGTAATCGGCCTCAAATTCTCAATAATTCTTTTATCTTTGTTTGCCTTTGGAATAAGAATAATTAAGCCCTGTTTCATAGTTGTAAGTAAAGTACTAGAATTAAAACACTATTTTAATGCTGCAAATAACAAATGTTTTATATCCTCCCAAAAAAATTTGTAGCAGTTAGTAGTCAAACCATCCTGACCAGGAGACTTACCCAAACACATTTTTTTAATAGCTGCTTTAAGTTCCTCTAGCTTCAAATCCTCATCACACATTTCTTTAAATATAATATCTATCTGTGGGATATAATCTTTAACCTTTTCTAGAAATTGAATAGCATTATTTTCAGAATATGATGTAGAATAAATATTACTATAAAATGAATATATTTCCTCAGATATCAGTTTAGAATCCGTAATTATTGTATCCTTAATAACTAAAATATGAATTGCATTACTTTGCTGTCTCCTCTTTTCTAATTGACAAAAGTAAGCTGTGTTCTTCTCTCCTTCTTCCATCCATTTTGCCCGAGACCTTACAAAAGCTCCTTGTGCTTTCATTACATACATGCTGTCTAATTTAGCTTGAAGAGTGATTCACTTTTCCACATCTTTAACCTTATCGTGTGTTACAGCAATCATTAATTTCCTGAATTATTCTTAATTCTTTTTGCAATATATCGCTTCTCTTTTGTTTACCAAACCGAATAGAAATTTCCCTTGTTTTAAATTTAAAGTACTCCCATTTAATCCCACTGGAATTTAAAGAGAAATCATTCTCAACCTCACTAATTAGGTTTTTTAATTTGACTACAATAAACTTTATCCTTTAAAAGTTCTGCATTGAACTTCCAATAGTCTTTCTTAGTAGTATTTTTTCTTACTGGTGTCAAAGTTAATGAAATCAAACAGTGATCTGTCAATGGTGCAGCAGAAATTAAAACCTGGTTCGCAAGCTCCAGATATTCCTCAGTTATGAGCCAAAAATCTATTCGTGACCTAGATGACCCATTAGGTTTGATTCAAGAGAACTGATTGGTATTAGGATTCTTGACTCTCCATACATCTATAAGAGAGTTAACTTGGCAAAATTCCTGAATAATACTATTAAGACGATGACTTGTAAAACTAGAAGGAGATCTATCCATCTATTTATCAGGTGCCAAGTTAAAATCACCTCCAATTAGTACCAAATTTGTATTAAAATTCGATTTAAATTGTAAAACAACCTCTGTTAGATAGGATAATAAAGACTTGTTTTGCCCAGCACTATTATAGCCATACACATTCACTATAATAACAAAAATACCTTCACTGTTAATCACAGCAGTAAGCCAATGACCATAATCATCAGACTGAAAAGTCACAACCTTCCCAGGACAATTGTTGAGGCATAAGGCGACACCTGCTGATCGATTAGAGCCATGACTGAACAAGATTGTGTCTCCCCACTGTATTTTCCAAAAAGCTTCATCTTCAACAGTAGAATGAGTCTCTTGAAGAAACAAAAACTGTGATTTCTGCCCCTTAGCAAACAAAAAAATAGCTTTCCGTTGTACTTTGTCCTTTAGACCCCTTGCATTCAGTGAACAAAAAGATAAACTAGATTTTAGTGAAAATATGTTCCACTGAAACTCACAGTGAACAAAGAAGAAATGTCACAGAACAGTCAGTATAGAATCGAAAGAAGAAGAAAAAACTTGCAACGCAAAAAGAGTCTCTGAATAATAATCTTTTCCCTTATTCAAAGCTTTCATCATCCTGGAAAAATTTGCTTTCCCTCAATGAAAGCCAATGGACCCCGAAAGTACGCCACTTTCCCTTCTGCTCGAGCTTGTTTAATGCGTGGCCAGAGCACTTGCCTCGCCTCTCTGTCCTCTCTAATTAAATCCTCCGCAAAATGACAACCTGCCTCGTTGCACACTGATGATCCCTTAGACAGTTTCCAAATTTGATCTCTGTAGATTCTCTTTGAAAACTGCATGATGATTTGACGTGTGCGATTACCTTCTCTCCTGCCAATTCGATGGACTGTGTCAACCGCTTCTTCCATTTCCCAGGGCACGCCAGGTGCAATCTTGGAGAGCAAGGTGATCACTACTTCTCTAGTATTCTCGTTCTGTTTCTCTGGAAGTCCTTTTATGCATAAATTCCAGCGCCTTTTGTAGCGATCCAATTCTCCTACCCTAGATTTCAACTCTTTGTTTTCTTTTTGGAGATCAGAAAGCTCCAGTTCCAATTCAATTGCCTTCTGTTTTTGAGCCTTTAACTCCTCTTTAACTTCACATATGACGCTACAGTTCTCTTCCAATTTTTTCGTGACTTCTTCCAACTTTTCTTCCTGCTTGTCAAATCTTTTGCCAAGGGAGTAAATAGCCTCGAGAATATCTGCATTAGAGATATCTTCTTCGCTGTCAGAACGTACTTTCTTCGAAATGTGCATTTTACTGGGCGTAACAGGTAGATTCATGTCACCACAAACTTCCAGGAGACGCTTATTAGTTTAGCACCTACTTCCATCACCTCCGCATAATCATGATCAAATTTGTCGCTGATCACAGCTGTATCCTCCGG